AAAATGTAGGAGAATATCTACCATAAGTGAAATGCAAAGGAAGATTTTATGTAAGATTTTCATCTTCTAACTTATATAAATATTTATTTAAAAGGGAATCAAAAGATGATTAGGCAATTAATGCGAAAATTTTAAGAAATGAAATGATAAGAATGTTGAGGATTTAAATTTTACTTACTACAAATATTAATATACTAACATTTTCTTTTAAAAAAATAGTTACATGTATAATTCACCCCATGATTTTTTTACATTTGTTTTCATTCTCAAACTTACATGATTATGCAAAATGATTTTCTATCAATATATTTAATATAAATCAGCACAATCTAATAACTTCATTTTCTAGAATTAAATATAAAATACGAGATAAATAATATTCAGTATGACATTACATGTGTTAATCTCATATGATTATTTAGAAGTATAAAATACAGTTTTAGTCATTAATCTTTTTAATTGCACAAAATTTGTAGTCACGTTATTATATTTAATAAAATTATAAATTTATAAAAATATTTTTATTTAACAAAATAATAATTATTTTTTTGGTACTTAACAAAATAATAATTATAAATGCTTTTTTGAATAAAACTTATTTTTAGTTGTTTTAAGAAAAAATATTATCAAATTAGCAATCACATTAGATTAGTAATTATTAGATAATTTAGAAATTGGAAAATAAAGAAGAATTATAGTTTAGTGTTTAACGCAATATTATTCTCTTATTTATCTTTTTCATCTTTTAGCCTTCATCATGAAAGCGCATCGGTCAAAAAGTGCTTTACATTCAATTCTAGAATATAAAATTATCATTTCATAAGTTATTTGATTTTATTAAGTATATTGAAAATTAATCATTTTTGCACAATCATATAAGTTAGATAATGAAAAGTGCAAATTAATTTCGAAGGACAAATTATGAGCAAAAGAAAAAGTTGAACACCCAAAATTGCACCATATAATTCTGGATATCAAATAGAAATAAGACATTGTATAAAATCACTTACATAGAAAAAACTATTAAACTTTTGGATAAAAAATAATGAGTAAATTACACATGTCACATAAGTTTTAGTAAAATTACACAAACTAACCCTATATTTTTTACACCTACAAACCCCCAAATTTATATACATACATTACACTAATCACCCTTGCATGATAAATAAGTGTGATTTTTAAAGAAAGAATGATGATAAGTATAATTAAGTTAAACAAAATATGGTATATCGAAAACAAATCTAAATAGTATCTAAATCAATACATTTTCATTATTTTTGGTTCATTATTACAAAATGGATCAATAATTCTAAGGAAATATTATTTAAATCAATTTTATACTATATTATAACGAACAAAAAATAATGAAAATGTATTGACTTATATATTATTGAACTTGATTCCACAATATACCATGTTGGCATAAAAATGGATGAATGATTTATATAATTTTACTAAAACTCATGGAGTGTGAGTATAATTTACTCAAAAATAATTTATATAAGTTGAAGAATGAAAATTACACATAAAAACACCAAAATAACACAAGTTAATCAACTAATACTACATTTTATCCTAAAACAAAGTCAATTGTATCATTTTCAACCACCTAATCATCACCACTGAACACAAACATAGTAACAATTAAAAATAAATAAAACTCTTGTAATCTTCGTGTATATTTTAATATAAAGTTCTTAATCAAAGTTTTGTTTATGCTGAAAATGTGAGTTTTCCTATCATCCATTTGCAACAAACTCAAATATTTAACCTTGAAAAACATAACCATCCTAGAACAAATTTATTCAAATAGAAAATAAAAAAGCTATAATTTGACATCTGAAATTCTCAATAAAAGCTATTGCATTTTGTGAACTTTCACTACCAAAACTGGTTTCTGCTAAAAAACTAAAGTCACACTTAGATTCATAGTTTATGCTGCATTCACTTAAGATATGTAGATGAAACCCATAATAACAAATATGTTATCAACGATGTGATTACTTCAAATGCTCTTAGTCCTTTGAGTATAGGAATTGGAGGAATTACTGCTACCATCAAGAAGGTTCCGAAAAGCCAAGAAAAAATAAATGCCCCAACTCTGCATCAAAGTAACATTTTATATAAGGAGAATCTAACATGTAACCGATTTAGAAGAACGAGACGTGTCATTTTTTACGTACCCATAAAGGAAAGATCGGAACTTGCTCTTGAGCCGTTCATGTACAAAATAGAGCGTAGCGATTAGAGATAGTGCTACCTGAAGTGTTGGTCCTTCCTCAGTTGGAAAGAGAACAGTCAGAACTCCAAGTAATAAGAATGTTAGTGATGTTTTTATAATAAACTTTGTGGATGGAGTATGAAACCTTCCTCTGACAAACTGAACCAATCGAGATTGATTTACTTCCCGGATTTTTTTCTTGATGTCGATTTTTGGGTTCTTCCGGTCATAGAACTTCTGCATGATTATTTTGTCATGCGCTGACTCAATTGCATCTACACTAGGCTTATGCCCTGCGTATTTTTGAATCAGGAAGTTCCTTGCCCCTTGAATTTCATCTTCAGAAGCTTCCTTGCTTATTCCAAGTCGCCTATATGGATCCCCCACATTAATTCTTGGAAAAACAGCTGGAATTTGCAGCAAAGAAGTGGCAAAATTATAAGCTAAACAAACATATAATGGGTTTATAGTATCATATGCATAAGGGATAAAGATTAGTTGTCTCTAAATTGTGTTCTCAACCCTGTCTCATCCAATCAGATTTTGACACATAATATGAAATAACATGCAATTTAAACCTTGCTTCCCACTACTCAATTTTTTTAATAAATATCAGAATCTGATCGGATGGAACAGGTTGGGGACACAATTTGGGGACAGCTGATCCCCATTCATGCATAAGGTAGAAAATAATTGATACCACATTAATTATTGTGCATGTGTTACAGAGTATCACTGTTGGGAGTCCACAATGGATAGCATGGCAAATTCAATATGGTACTAGTCACAATGATCTCCTACCTAATAGATTAATCTTTTGGGTTGGGCTCTTCTCATATGCTTAAGTCCTAACAATTGGTGCTTTTATTGAGAGTTGTGTCACGGAAAGGACTATCTGTAGGCTAGATTAAGGTGTATTACCAAATATTGATAGATGAGTAAAACCACCAAAAGAAAAAAGGCTACCATTGAGTTAGTGTCAGTAGAGTGAAAATCGCCATGGGCGTCGACCCTTAAAGGAAGTGACAATACTAGGAGTCTCGCATTGGGTAGCATTGAAAACTCAATATGATACTTAAGCCATGAGGCTCTCCACCCAATCGACTAGTCTTTTTGGTTGGACTTGCCTAAATCCTAACAATCTCATTAAGACATGCTAGTAAAATATTTCACATATTTCTTATAAAGAAGAAGAGGAAGAAAAAAAGGGTGCGATGGAGGAAGAAGGGAAATAGTGATACTTAAGTTTGCGGACCCAAATCACAAACAATTAGATAGTACAAAAATAACAACTAAGCTTTAATCTAACTAGGTGGGGCTACATGAACCGAACGACGTCATAATGTTATATCATAAATGATATTCAAAGACAAAAACATTGATCTCTAAATCTTTCCTACCAGTTTGCTATAGGACTACACCAAAGGTCAATGTTGAGCTTCTACTTGTTTATATTGGTCTTTGGATGTGCGTACTGAGCATATCCAACTATCCAAGAACCGGTGCCACAATGCATGCTTTTGTGGATGACATTGTCCTAGTTGGAGATGAAAAGAATTATATGGGAAGCTTGAAATGTGGATACAAGCTTTAGAAACACATGGCTTTCATATAAGTTGACGTAAATGAATAAAATAGAGAATGCACTGAAATTGAATTAATTGAGTGAAAGAAAAATACAGAGGAATGCAATTCCTGCTGTCCATAGAGCTCAGCTACTAACAAAACTACAACTCTCTATCCCCAACAACCTTCATGATTATAAAAAGATGCCCCTCTTTCTTTATACTCTCCCATATAATCCAATTCCAATACTTTACTATTCCTTCTCACCTTGCTACCTCATCACTCATTCTTTTCCTATTTCTTATTCTTTCTCACAAAGAATTTCCACACTTTGGATCCATGTGCCAAATGGTGCACTAACTGGCCCTTTTTACCCAATTGCTGATTCGGGGAGTTATCGAAGTGTTATTCCAAAGTAAGGTACAACTATCACCTATAAAGTAATTGTAAAATTAAGAAACATTATCTCCTCCTTGATCTTCAGCCATCAAGCTATCTAATTTCGACTACTTCTAAGGTATGACTCTATTTTATCATTTGTTCAGCTTCTTGGACAAACAAGAGCTATGAATAATGTGCATAAAAATCAGGAAAAAGGAAGAGATGACTTCAACTCCGCAAACTAATGAACAAGAACACAAGATTATTCTTAATCTAACAACCAGAAGGGAACCAAACATCCATGACGATCAAATCAAAGAATCATTTTCAATTTTAGTTTTATTTTTACTAATCTATTGATTTCAATGTACATATACCCTCCCTAAACGCCACCAAGTGGAAGCATCGTGCACCAGACCCCACCTTTTTTTTACTGATTTAGATAAAAGCACAATCTGAAAACATCATACTCGCTCACGAGGTTAAGGCGGCGTACATCAACCCATCCGAGACATCAATCGATGGGAGCCTCATGCATTGGCAGCCCTTCTTATTAAGAGAAAAGCACAGTCTAATAATTACATACCAGTATTACAAGATTATTCCCTTGAAATCAAATTATAGTACATTCTTTTGGTACTACAAATGGTATCCGTTCAGTAAATAACTAATCCATTTCGGAGTGCGTGACTGTCCCTACACACAAGTGTAGCTCAAACTCTGGACCGTTTTGGATCTAGCACGACATTACAATACTAGATGGTAAATTATGGTACATTTGAAATAAAAGGAAGAAGCTTGATGAAGAGAGAGAAAATTTACCAGAAGATTCATTTGCCATATCACCAAATGAAGCATCCATGGAACTTTTGACCAATTGAACTTGTCGCCTATTCCACTTTAAAGTAGAAGACAAAAAACTTGTTCTGTGAAGTAACAAGGTAAGTGAAAAAAATGAACTTTTTTCATTATCATTCAACATAGCACAATCCCAAAATCAAGTTCAATATGTAACAATTAATAGTCCAAACCTTTCAGCTACAAGAAACTTTGCCACTTGTTTATTCTTCCCAGAAACAGAAAATTCCTTAACCGGAAAACGCCGTGATCCAAGGCGAGAAAGCGGTGGTCGGAAACATATCGATGGGGTAACACAAATCCCAGAAGATATAGACATTGATACAAAAATTGGTGCGGTGTATGAGAATAAAGATGAGAACTTTGTGGTTCAAATGAAGAGGAAAAAAGTGATTAAGAAGAATAGAGAAAGAGGGTAAAATGGGGTATTATAGGAATTGAAGAAAGAGGGATAGAAATGAAGATTGAGAAGTGTACCTTATCAGAAAGTTATGAGAAATTGGGTTAGTTGTTGATGTTTGAGAATTGAGACTTTGGCAGACCCTAAAACCACTACTACTAGGAGAATAAGTTAATAATTAAATTACTTTGCTAATTTTTTATTTTCACCTGTATGGTTTGTAATTTTAATTGAATGAGTAGTTGAACTACTTTGAATTGAAAAAATTCTGGTTTGATCGTGCTAAACTCAGTTAAACCGAAATAATCTGGGAAATGAGTAGGACGATTCAGTTAAAATTTAAAAAAATGAAACATTACTCTCATGTTTTATTTTACTTCGATCCAAAAAGATAAAAAGATCTTACTTCAATATAGTTATACAAAATTATTAATTATATAAAATTTTACATTTATATACAAAAATATATTTATAGATAAAAATTATTAATTATATTAAAAATCATCCGGTCCGACCGAACAGTCTAACCATTTAAACAGGTTAAACCTAATATGGAACCTCTTTCACTTTGATGTTCGGTTGAAGTTTCACAACATTGGAACAAAGTGTAACAATTTTATATTTTGCCAAATCATCAATCATTTTAAATCATATTGAGTATTAAAAAAGTAATACAAATGAATAGTAAATGACATTTTGACTTGACTGATATAAATATTTACACACTAGTGCATAAAAATTAGAGTAATATATCATTTTGGTTTATCATGTTTTTCGACCTTAACATTTAGTTTCTTTATAACTATTGGGCCGGTTTGTTTTTATGATAGGCCCAATGTCAGAATTAGTCTGTCTGCCAGGCCCAAGATTCATAATATTGTTACTGGGTACAATGTCCATTTAGTAACATTTTCATTCTTAACACATAATAGAAACATGTGAGAAATAAGAACACAGTGGTAGGGACAAAAAAAAAGTTAAGAGTATCACAAAACAAAAACAAAAAATAGAGTCATTACACCAATAATAATATAAATCAATACATTGTTACAATATTTCATTTTACACAGAAATTGTTAACATAGTACCTACCAAGTATCATACAATATTAATATACTTGTGTATTTTTTGGATTGCCTATAATGTTTTAAGAAATTGGAAACTATCCAAACTATAAACACACTTTACTTAATTGCAAAATATAAACCATACTTTTTATTGTTCTCTAATTAACAACTACTCATATTTTTTTTTCAAATTTATTCTTTAGTCACAGTTTCCTTTGTTGATTTATATGCATCACCCACTTTATCTTTAGCTTGGTCATAAGCATCTGTTGCTTTATTTCCAAATGCATTTGAGGCCTTTGCAGCTTCATCATAGGCTCCTTTGGCTTTATCTTTGGCATCTTCTGCAGCCTTTGTAGCATAGTTAGTAGCTTCTGCATAAATCAATAAAGGAAACATTATGCATCTGTGTCGGTCAGTTCAATTGGTAAACTTGTCATAATATCGATATGGTACAATAATTATACCAGTTATATAATCATTTTGGTCAAAATCGGCCCTACCGACCAATTTGCAATTGAACCGTACCGGTTATACCGGCTGATTTTTTATTTAAAATTATTTTTTATTGAAAAAAAAGTTATTTTTTATTGATTTTTCAATATTAATATTATATATTATATATGTATGGGGAGGGATCCACTTACTCTAAGAGTAAGTGGAAAATACCTATTCCACACATCATGATCATTTATTTTTTGAGAAATCTAATGGTTTGAATTGTTGAGTATATCTAAACCATTGGATTTTCCAAGATTATATGGCTAAGATGAGAAGTAAGTTTTTTTCACTTACTCTTAGAGTAAATGAATCCCTCCCCTATGTATATCTAACTTCACCGCTATGCGGTTTAACTAATGAACTATTTGTTGAACCGCTATACCATTATACCAGTACCCTGATCGGTTCGATAACCAATATTGTTTTAATAACACTGATTTGAACCAAAAGGTCTCATTAGATCTTCAGGTCGACCAAAATGTCAAATATTCCCTTCATGTGAGCGACCATTTCTAGGAGGACAATCACACAATTCAAAATAGATTAATTCATTACCCATAGAGTGAGAGGATACACTTTGTTAAACAAAAAAAGAACCCAAATTTTAATTAAAATGATAAAAAATGGGTAATTGAAAAGGAGTGTTAAGGTATTAATGTCAATGAATAAATACCTGATGCTGATGACTTCACTGAATCTGTAACCTTTGAGGCAGTTTCTTCAGTTTGAAACTTTGCATTTTCAGTTAGTTTTTTCTCATCATCATTCGTCCCAAAGCCACTAGCACAACAATTGCAAACTAATTAATGAATTAGAATAACAATGTGACATTTCATAATTACCAAAGTCATAGTACATGATGACATGAATGAGCAATTAATCATCATTTATAATTATATTATAACATTTTTTTTATAATAAACTGACACTACCGTTGTGCCCGTCTATCTGTTTTTCTATCGTTTGTAACGTGTGTTCTACATGCAATAAATGAATTGTATTAGATATATTATAATTTGCATTGAGTTATATGGTTTTTTTGGTAAAAATTATAATATAGTGAGGGTCAAAATATGAAATCAATAATTACGTCATAGTGTATAGTTATTTTGAGTTTTGACTTTATTAATAGTATAGATATAGATACCACAAATGCAATTCACATGGTTATTAAAGCGGAGACCGCGAAAGCACATCAATTGTCTCAAAAGGTGTGTTGGTGGATGTGAATAGCTATCATCTATGGTAAAATAATTATGCTCTCATGTGTTTATCTAATCAACTTTCTCAAAGTTTGTTGTAAGGAGTATTATTGTTTTCCCACATTGAACAACATTTTGTGCGTAAGATGGGGGATTGATTTTGGTGACATTTGTCGGGCTTCAAATGTATTGAGAATAGAGGCTGGAAACTATGATTGAGATTCCTTTCCACTAATGGAGATAGAAGTACCGTGAAATACTAAAGGAAAAGTAACATTCGTAGATATTTATATCCTTTTTATTTAGAGTAATATTATATTTTTACCCTTAAAACTCAAATGAAAAAAAACATTATCCTCTCTATCGGGAGAGGAGTCTCATTCATAAACCATGGCTTGAAAATAAATGTGTTAGAAGAGAAAATTACTTGGAAATTTTGCCATAAGCCCAATTAGCAAAAGACTCAGTTTTTTCCTTAGCATCACTGGCAACACCCTTGGCATCTTCAACTATCTCTTCACCCCAAGGATGACCCATCTCTACACACAATGCAAGACACAACACCAACAAGAAAACCTTTGTGTTTGTCATCTTCATCTTTGTTATTTTTTATTTTTTATTTTATGAACAAAGTTTAAATATTAAAGACTTCAAGGTATATACTCAAAACTATTCTCTTTTGTCTAGGAAATGATTTTGCTTGGTGGGTCTTTATATATATTGTGAGAAACATTGGCATAAAAAGCACTAAGGGGAATGTGGCTTAACATAGGAATAGGCATAAAATGTTGCATTGCATTCGCATCATGACTAATGTTGTTATTGGTAATGGATTTTGCTCCTCCTTGTGGGAGACCCTTAACCAAATGTCCAAAAGAAAATGCTTTGAATTTCCCTACACTTTCTAATTTGTAGTCTTAGCTATTTTAGATACTATTAGTCTTCATGTGATTTATGTTGAACAACAATAATAACTTCACACAAAATTACTAGTTAACTTTTTCCATTAATAGAGAGAGAAGTTGTTAATTTTACTCTTAGTTTCAAGGATATAAATGTTATATCATTATATTTTAAGGGGTAGGAGTGTCACATCATATTGTTTTTTCCTTTACATTTGATGTATTTCTCTATCCATTAATGGAGAGGGTCCTCACCAGATGGATATAAGGTGGTTGTATAAGATCAACTAATAATTTTTCAACCAAATGTTGTTATAATGGTGTAAAACTTCACTGGATCTCCAAATAAGTTAAAAGATTAAATGTTCAATTATTGTTATAACAAATGTTGGGAAAGACAACCACGTACTATCAAAAGAAATTTAGTTTATTATCCATAAGATGAAAGATAATATTAATTATATAAAAAAAACTAATAATTTCTCATAACTCTTGGAGCTTTCATGTGGAGGAATGGAAAGTGTTGTATACTTATCCACCTCACCATATAAGAAAATATTTATACTCCGTAATTGTATACTTATTCAAGAGGAAGCTAGTGTTGTAAAACATACACATATATTTAATTATGGTGAATGGATTATATATTGTTAGAAGGGTATTATTAGTATGAAATAACAATATATGATTAGAATTTCTGATGTGCTTTTGTAAACTTATATAACGTACGATTTGAAAGTTTAATATATTCCCTTCATGCATGTATACATGTAATCACACACTATTATATTTAGAATCTATATATAGCTAACATATTTTGTCTTAAATCTCCATGCATACTCACATCTTTATTCACAATATAAAGTCTTATTTTCACGTCAATAATATTATTTTTACAGCTTTATTACCCATATTTTGTAATGCATGTGGGATCCTAGAGAATGTACCTTCTCTTTTCTTCAATAGAAGAATACTTTACTACTTATTTATTTATTTATATATATATATATATATATATTATATGGTTGTCAAAGTGAAACGGTTGATCTCAAATGTATACACCCCAATGAATATAATAATAAGTGAATCTGTTGAACATGTAGAAGAGAATGGAATGAAACAAATAGAACTTATAACACCTAAAGTCCAAAGCCAAGAAAAAAAACACCTTTTATTATGAACTACGTGTACACAATTTTGCAAAGAAAAGAAATTAAAAAGTAGGTATCATAATGAAAATTGGGTACTAGGTTACACAACTCAATACAAAGATCAATTTAAACACATAATACAAACAAACATATTCAAATATCAATTTAGAATAGACACATCAAAACCCTAACACAAATCAATAAGGATCATCTCCATTAATTGATAAATTAACCAATAAAAGTGGGTGTGTGATTAGCATTACCCCTTTGAGTTTGAGGAATGAATGTTACTCTTTCCCTCTAACTTCTTGTCATTAGTACCACATCCCCACACCCAACATCTAACATTGCCATAACCTCCTTCATTTCCACCACCACCACCTCCCCAACCCCAGCCACCACCACTTCCTCCACCACCACCCCCACCACCACC